TACATTGTTCCTGTGGGAAAATATAGTTTAAGTTTCAAGTAACCAATGTATGGACTCTTGGAATACAACTCTCGGTAGTTGGCCTGAGTAGAATGGTTGAGTTGACTTCATGATTAGAACAATCAGTGTTTCCCCTCTATCTTGCAAAATTGCAGAATTTTATAACAACTGTCTAAGTGAACTGTGCCAAAGATCAACTATAAGTGGCAGACTGAAGTCTAGATTTTGTGGCTTGCCCAGCATAAGTTTGGCTACCATCAAGGAATGCTGGCAGAGCTGCTAAAAGAACTAATATTTTGATGCTGCCATCTGTATTATATAAATGACTATTTTTCTCCCTTTCATTTTGGGCATGATAATGTGGAAAAATTTAGGCTAACTCTTATGGTATATTCTGAGGATGTCAAGATGACAGCTCTCATTCTGGATCCCTGAATTCTCCACACAGACCATAATGTAGGATCTGAGGCAGTCATTACATTAGTTAACTGGGCAACTTTACACATGTGACCAGGATGGATGCCTTCAGTCTTTTGGTCACTGGAAAAACCTGTAAAAAAAAAAACTCACAAAAAACAAAACCTGAAAATAGTCTCTTCCTGGCTGGACCTTTCTCAATAGAGTGTTATCGTCCTGGCATTGCAACTGAAATAGTCAAAGAAAAAACCAATAGACTAATCAACTAAAATTCTTTTAGATGTCTCAAATTACACGATTCAAGGAAAAGGAAGAGGCAGAAATAATGTGAGCAAAGTCAGGAAAAGAATAAGTGTTTAAAAGATGAATATTAGAAGAATAATCAGCTCCTCAGCACATCTCCCATTAGAGCACATATTCATACTGGCTATCCCTCACCCCTCCTGTGCACACCTATTCCAGCAACTAAAGATGTCTGAATCAGCTATCACAGAACACATTTCTCTATAGCAACTACAGAATATATAGGTACTCCAAATCGATCCCAGTTGACTACAAAATTACAGTAATAATCATTTTTTCACAGTTAATAATGCAAACCTGTTAGAAATCCATAACTTCTACTTTTTTCTTTACTGGAAACATAAAGAATCAAAAGACCAATTTATGCTTTATTGCGAAAAAATGCAAATTATAAGGTAGAATCAGTATCTTAAAAAACAGAATTTATACTGTACATAGAAAAGTAATGAGTCAGAAACTATATAGTTCGAATGATACATGTAAGTTTCAGAAACTACAACACTGACAACTCCCTCTTTTGTACCTTTAGAATTCAGAACATATATGTATCAGTGTATTATTTATTTATATTACTATTACTCCCTATTAGACTAGATATTCCTTATAAACAGATATCACATCTTGTCCATTTCTATTTCTCCACCCTCTAGTAAGTATCTAACATACAGTAGATATTCAACTAATATTTCTTAAATAAACTAGAAGTACTAATTCAGTTGAAATATGTAAAACACCACTCCTGATCCTAAAATACATATGTATGTGTGTATATATACATAAATAAAAGAGATGCTATTTTAAGTTTCTCTTCACAAAGATGGTAGTTGATCTGTACAAGAAATAGAAACTTCACGTTTTAATAGGTCACACATTTTCCCAGGGAACAGTAATATTAGCCTGATCTTCATCGTAAAGCAATGTTCCAAAGCTAAATATGGTAGATACTATGGTAGATACATTAAGAAACTCAAGTCACGAGGTCTTAAATCTGAAACTGAAGTAGTCCCGTAGAAAACAGAAAAATGTCTTAAATGATTCTGAGATTTCCATAATTTCTAAAGAGATTTTTAAAATAAATCACTATTAGCCATACCCAACAACACATAGTGAGTTTTTACCAGGTACCAAGGGTTGTGCTAAGCCCTTTGCCACAATATTTCATTTAACCCCAGGAATGATATGAGGTAGGTATTATCACTCAATTGTACTAAGAAATATATTTTTTAACTATTAGGAAAAAACTATTTGCCTTAGAGATGATCAGAACCAATGTTCTCATTTTGTATTTTTTAAAAAATCCAAAAAGAACAGAAGAAAGAAAAGACATTTGTGTTATCAGGTGGATGACTAGTATGGAATAAAAGGGCATAGAGGAAAATACATGAAGACAGGCAATCTTAGGAAAAGGTCTAATTTGTCTAAGAATTCAGATTACACAATCTCAAAAAGACATCTGCATTCCCATGTTCACTGTAGCATTATTCACAACAGCGAAGATGTGGAACGACCTAAGTGTCCACTGACAGATGAATGGATAAAGAAAATATACAATAGAATATTATTCATTCACAAAAAAGGAGGAAACCCTGCCATTTGCAACAACATGGATAGACCTTGAGGGCATTATGTTAAGTGAAATAAGTCACACAGAGAACTGTATGATCTCATTTATATGTGAAATCTTAAAAACACTGAACTCATAGAAACAGAGTAGGGAGGTGGCTGCCAGGGGCTGAGGAAATGGGTGGATGTTGGTTGAGGGTACAAACTTTCAGTTTTAAGATAAATGAGTTCTGGGGATCTAATGCACAGCATGTTGACTGCAGTTAACAATACTGTGTTGTATACTTGCAAGCTGCTATGAGAGTAGAGCTTTTATGCTCTCATGGTAGCAACAACAAAATGGTAATTATGAGGTGATAAATGTGTTAATCAACCTTATGTGGTAAACATTTCAAAGTATATACAGGTATCAAGTCATCACATTGTACATCTTAAACTTACACGATGTTCTATGTCAATTAAATCTTAATAAAACTGGAAAAAAATCTCAAATTATTAGATAATTGACAGAATTAGGCCAGAGAGGGAAGTTTTGGCTAAGTTGTAGAGAAAAAGTAAATAGTTTGCATTTTTCCTGAAGAGCCTGGGGAGCTAACAGGGATTAATAATGATGATTATTTCTACCACAGCAGCTACCATTTATTGAATCCTTGAGAATTAATGCAAGTTTTATGCCCAAAACTTTATAGGACTCAAATCCATTTCTGTGTGTCGCAGCCAGTGAGGATCTTAAATCTGATATTTTAGTGTCGAAAAGACCTTGCAGGAGAGTGACATGAATATACCTTCTCATTATAAAACATTATAAATCTTCAGGAAAAAGATATTAAAAACATATACTATTTTAAACTTAGAATCTAAGTGAATACCTCTTTTGAACTGCAGAAACCACACATTTATCTGCCTCATGGAATACAGTGACTTAGAAGCCCTGAAGGCAATCTCACAACCAGTTAACCAGAATGGAACTCGTCTGTCAGCTTAATACATTTCTTTTTTGGTTCAGTGTCTTTCAATTATCCACAGTATTAAACTTAGAAGCAAACAAAACTCCAGAATTAACTGCCTCAACCTACTATCACTGTTATTTTTACTTTTCATTTTAAACCAATTACTAATAAGCAGCAAAAGTAGTCAATCTGCAATGCACTTCTCTCTTCTACTGGTATAACAAAGAATACGGGTTTTGGAATCGATTAGAACTGTTTTGCCATTTATCACCCGTGTGGCCCCAAACAAGTTACTATTATTTAACATTTCCATTTACCTTCAAAACAAACGTTCCTACCACAAGCAAGGCGTTTTCTTGTTTGTTTTACTGAGAAACATTCATAGTAAAATGATGTGAGGGAGGGACTAAAGGTATTCGCTCTGGTAGGATGCCTCAGTGAAATGAAAGTTTCCTAGTCTGACGTTCTACAAAATAGAGACTCCCCACTTATGATGAGAAGCAAAGAGATGCCTAAGGTACTATACTGCCTTCGACACACCTTAATGGTGTAAGGGCGTTCACAGGCTTTCAATAATGAAGGGGTGAAAAGAAAGGGGAGAACTGTTGAGATCCACTCACAGAAATAGGAACAGAGGACAAAATCCAAAGTAGCTTCCACGTACACCACAGCAGAGAGTTAGGCATAATGATGAACAAAAGAAACCAGACACAAAAGAATCCACACTATACCATTCCATTTCTATGAAATTCAGTAACAGAGGAAAACTAGTTTATGGTGATAGAAATTAGAATAGTGTTTACTTCCAGGTAGGGAGGGGAAGGATACTGCCTGGGAAGTGGGGTGAGGGAGCATTCTGGGGTGCTAAAAATGTTCTGTATATTGATCTAGGTAGTGGTTTCACTGAGTGCATACACATGTAAAAATTCACTGGGCTGAGCACTTAAGATCTAGGTACTTTACGTGTAAAAATTCTCCCAAATAAAACAAATTAAGGGGCTTGGGGGTCGAATCAGGACATAGACCTATGATCTATTTCTCTATGGTGAGAAGCAGTAAATGTGTTATAAAAAAAGTTCAGTGTTTCTTTGAAAGTAGCTGGGAAGGTGGGAGATGGGCAATCTTCGTTGCCTTCTGTGTCTAGGTCTGAGGTGGCCAGAAACTGAAAAAAGAGAGTGGTGGTTGCCACGGGCCCGACACCAGGACAGGAAAATACAGGGAACACGAGCAACAAAAATCCCAGAGGTTCTGCCCTCTTACTTGTGTTTAATAATTGATGTACATACCATAATATAATCCCTGATGTCCTATAGGTACTCATGAAACTTTATCTACTTGGTTAAAAATATACTCATTGATCCAACAGCAGTTTTAGAAATCACTTCCTCCCAAATCGATTTGATTATGAAATCTAACTTTAGGCATGTGAAATATAAACTCTACTATAACCATCTTTAGTTCTGGAAGATACCAAGGAAAAACCTGTGTGTTATGTGATGTGAAGCTGTACATACTCTATTTTATAGCTTTCATTAGCTCTTAGAACCATGCGCTGTGCTTCTCTGACACATTTATGGAAGATGTTTGTAAGAGTCACAAAGAAGGGGGTATATGAAACCAATGAACAAACAAACCTAGATTAACCAGTCCTTTACAATCCCACTGTTCAACAAAAGAAAAAAAAGATGATGTAATGATCTAAGACAAAGAAAGTAAAATGAGCAAGGCCCTACGACAAACCCTCTAAGTGGATGATTTCATTCTTACCTTTATCACGATCATAGAGTAGATCTTCTGTGGAGCAAGGGCTGCCATCCTGGGATTCCGGGGGGCAGAAGGGAGAGACGCAGGGGGAATGACTGCTGCAGCTGCTGCTGCGCTCTTGGACAGAGGGGGTCTGAGTGTCGATGCTGCGAGTGCTGCTGCTCCGGTAGTGAGCCGGCAGTGGGGCTCTCCGACCGTCCGGTATATCCAATGGCTGGAAGAGGAATCACCATTAAACATGCGAACGGCAGCGCACACATCTGATTCATACAGAGAACACGTGGCACTTCCTTTGACTTCATATTCTATTACTAGCATCACCATAATTGATTCTTCAGAGAATAAAGATATCAATCTTGCGCCCTAAGTTCATTTCTGCCATGTTATCTTTATTGAAGGAAAAATTTATTTTAAATCCCAAAACGGTTAGGTTTTAAAATACTAAGGATAAATTGTCTTAAAAACTCCCTAATTGTCTGTCCTTATTCGTAGGTTAGCACTTCCCATGATACTCTTCGAGGACAGGGGCTTCTTTTAATACTGTAACCGCTAACACCAAGCACTGTGTCTGACACACAGACATCCAATAGATATATGCTGAATGAATTCACCGACCTGCTCAAGAAATCACTTTGACTTGCTAGTAAGAAAAGTGAAATCTCATATTCACAGGTATGAAAGTTTGTTCGTTCTTTCTTAAGTCTGACAGCTAGAAACCCAAAATCTCTAATAAAATGAGTTTTATTCTATTAGCATTCAATGAAGGACATTAACATAACTCAGAACAATTCTACTAATGTGGTATCCACCTGAGAAGGACTACTAATAATTTTGTCAGTGCCAATGCACTGTTCTGAGTGGCATGAAAAAGAAATAGACACGAAACTATAATCACAGAATCATATATTTTGAATCTGATAAGACCTTAAAGCTCATTAGTCTAATGTCTTCACAAATAAAGGACCTATATAGTTCAGAGAACGTGGTGACATGGCTAATTAAATGGCATCAGAGCTTCTGCACTAGTAAACTCTTTCTGCTCTGCTTCTGCTGTAAGGATAGCTCTTACTCCATTTTCCTCATCTGTGTGCCAAAAAAGGTCAAAAAATAAAATTCTATATACGTAAAATATTTTGTTATTGTGTAGACAACACTGTAATGCTAGGAAAAAGAATCAGTTTACTCTAAATTTTATTTACAACTTATTTTCACTATTTATTGCTCTTACTCTGAGCTTTGTCATTTCAGAATTTTTAGAAACACTGTCAGAGAGAAAATGGAATAAGAAAATGAGGCAAGGTTCAAAATGTATTTTTCCCCTTACAACAAACAACTTAAGTGACTTTACTGAAATAAAAACTTCATTTATGCAAAACTATGCCATCTTCACAACCTGACAATGACAACTCTACTGTAAGAGAATACATTATAAAATTTTAGTTCATTTTGTAAATCAATTGAAAAAGTAAAACTTTTGATTTAGGAAAGAAATATTCTTAAAGAAATATTAAGTTTTTGGTCAAATGCTAAGAAAATGTTACTTTATTTTTTACAACTTTTTCTCTTATTTAACTAAATTTAGGTTTTAATTACGACTCTACTAAGTAATCTCAGAAGGAACAATGAATAAATCATTGGTGCAGTTTTTTTTTTTTTTTTTTGAACAAGACTGTATGATCAGTATAAGATATGTGAGGTTCTCAGGGCAACCCATAAAGAAATATCATTTTAGAAAATATATTTGAGAGTTCCATGACAAGAGATATTTCTTAAAACTTAGATATGTTTAAATCAATAAAAATGTTACTGTATTAAAAGTGTCAATATTGGCATCAGGAAAAGAATAATGTACCAATTGGTAGCTAAAAAAGTTTTTAAGAATTAGAGCTATCTTTTAGTCATGTCTTATTTGATAAACACAATCTTTCTGTATTCACATTTCTTAATCTGTAACTGGTAATATATGTCAATTTCCTTAACCAACTTTTGTTCTCTTTGGGAAGGGGGTTATAAGAATTAGAAGAATGAAACGGACTTCAGAAATCTATATATTTACATAAAATAATAATGGGAAATACAAAGGCTTAGAACATTGATATATTTAACAAGACAAGACAGTTTTCTTTTTTTAGCTACTGGAAGATTCCTTACTGGTGACATTTTAATTTATTAAAACTGAGGCACACTTAATCATAAATCTAAAAATTCTAAAATTAATATTTTAGTTATAAGTGTGGTTACCCCAGAATAACTTTAAAATGGCTACTATGAAATTAGAATATGACTTATTTAAAAGCAGAGCTGTTAGCAAGCTTTATATTCTAGCAGTTTTGCTTTCCAGTTCTAAAGGAATCAGAAAATGTATGACTGATTTTCTCATCCTCAAAAAATTAGACGAATTTCACTTCCTTATATTACTGTTCTTAAATATTACTTAATGTAAATAAGGAAACATTTTAACTGTAAATAGCTAAGAGATGGCATAATTTCCAAATGGTTCTCTTATAGCATAAATAAATATAAAATAAAAATTTAACAGGAAATGTGTAGGGAGAGTAAAAAGGCACAGCATTTGGGAGGGTAATTTTAGCAATATTTATCAAAATTTAAAATGTACAAATCCTTTGACCCAGAAATTTCACTGCCAGGAAATTGTTTGCAAGAGTACAATGTTTTCTAAAGCACTTCTTGTGATGACAAAAAAATCTGAAAACAATCCAAAAACTCATCAATAGAGGACTTCTAAATTATGGTACATCCGTATGATGATTCACTATATATCAGCGCGCACACACACACACACACACACACACACACACAACCACATATCGGGTAGGATATACAGGAAACTATAAATAATGCTCATATCTGCTAAGCGATACTGAGAGTGGAAAGGAAGTTTTATTTTTTTATTTTATAAATGTAAAATTGAACAGACTGGATTTTGAGATTAACTCTAAGTAAGTTATAAAATCTACATATTATTAGATATCAGATAAATATTTGACATAAATTAAATATTTTAGTTCCAAAAAAATTTTTGAGATAATTAAGTCAAAGGCTACTTGATGGTTTCTTCTGTTGAGTATAGCTTTAAAATGTGGTCAAATACAGGTTAACAGGTAGTACTGTCTAGATTTCTTTTCTGGAATATAGGTATTTATAAAGTATTTTTGATTAGTTTAAAAATAATTAAAGACCTAAATACAAGAGAAAGCTAAAAAAACAAAAGAATAAATCACTGTGTCCTTAGATTAGGCAATGGTTTCTTAGATATGTCTCCAAAAGTACTAATAGCAAAAAGGAAATCAGACTTTATCAAAACTAAAAATGTGCTTCAAAGAACATCATTAAGAAAGTGAAAAGGCAACTCAAAGGATTGGGAGATATTTTCCAATAATATAACTAAAAAGGGACTTTCATCAGAAAATAAAGAACTTTTACAATTTGGTAATAAAAATACAAATAAACCAATTTTAAAGTAGGGCAAGGAATATAAACAATTTTCCAAAGAAGATACACAAATAGCCAACAGCACATGAAAAGATGCTTCATATCATTAGCCATCAGTAAATGTCTAGCAACACCATGATGAGAAACCACTGCATGCCCACCAGGACGGCTATACTCAAAGAGACAGCTGGAGAAATTTGAACCGTCATATACTGCTGGTGGGAATGTAAAAGAGTGTGCAGTGCAATCACTTTGGAAAACAGTCAGGCAGTTTCTCCAAAGGTTAAACAGAGTTACCACACCAGCAATTCCACTCCATCCCAAGAGAGATGAAAACATTCTGTTTGCACAAAAACTACATATAAATTTCATGGCAGCATTATTCATAATAGCCCAAAAGTAAAAACAATACAAATGTTCAGCAACTGATGACTGAATAAATAAGATCCGTACACAATTGAGTGTTATTTGGCAATAAAAATGAAGTATTTACACATGTTAAAACATAGGTGAAACTTAAAAACATTATGCTAAGTGAAAAAAGCCAGTTACAAAAGGCCATATGTTGCATGATTCCATTTCTATGAAATGTCTAGAACAGGCAAATCCGTAGACAGAGAAGGTAGATTAGTGGTTGCCTAGGGCTGGGACCACTGGAGGAAAATTGAGGGGTGACTGCTAAAGGGTATGGAGTTTTTTTGAGGGTGATGAAAATGCTGTAAAATCAATTGTGATGGTTGTAAAACTCTGTGAAGATATTAAAAGCCACTCAACTGTACACTTTAAACAGGTAAATTGTACGGTATGTGAATTATACTAATAAAGCTGTTATCAAAAAAAGAGCTTTGAGACAGTTCACAATATTAAAGAAAAAAGAGGATTCGAACATCCCATGTAACCTTACCTTGGACACTTCCTCCTTCCCATTATTTTCTTTAATGAATACCTTTTCTAACTCAGGACTTATTCCTTCTACATTGCAGGGCACACGTGAAACAGACGATTTTGGCACTGATATATTTGACAGAGGCATAGGGACGGATCTTGATCCTGCAGCCTACAAAACAAAAGACAAGTTGGTATCAAATTATTTGTGGTTGAAGAAATCAAAACTAAAGAGCATGGTAAATTTGAAAATAGAAACTCAAATGAGCAGAGTTATTTGGACATTTCAAATACAATATAAATTCAGATATACATACATAAATTCAAGTTCTAAAGTAAGGAAGCACAGTAAAAATCAGAGTCAAAACAATCCTTTATGCAAGTGTATACATATAGTTATATAATGTGTACACTTTTCCAGGAGAATGGCAGACAGAATCTTCTGCACTGTTTAACTTTTTTCTCTTTTTTATTCTTACTGAAAAAGCATAGTTGAAACTGTGTAAGTTCAGCGTATCATGTGATGCTATGGTATAGCTCTGTGTGTTTCCAACACTGTGACAATTACCTCCAAGACTTTTTCATTTCCATTTTTTCAATCATTTAAGAAAACCTTTTGGACTACTAAGTAATATGGCGACAATACCATGTTAAATTCAACAACACTCACTTAGCTTTTAGGTTGTTTTCAGAAGTCCCTTGGAAGAGTTCTCAAAAATTAACCACCTCTCATAGCTGCCATGAGGGCACCAACAAGTGTAAGACAAGCCTTTTGATATGCAAGGAACTTACACAACAGAAAGAAATAAGGAAAATAAAGATGAACAAGGTACAAATAAAAACAATATATGTAGGATCTCTATCTTATTCTGAATGATCAAAGTTGATGTATATGATTCATGATGAGGTAGACTGCTAATCTCTGACACATGAATAATACTCCTATACTAAGTGCTGTGCTCCTGCCATCCGTGAACGCCTACCCGTGAATGTGCTTTGTCTCTTATTGATGCATGAGCTTTATTCACATTAAAGTTGTCACTCATCATACATTTGCTGTTTACTTTAGTATCATACCTATCTTTCTTTCAGTACTTTCTTATATTAAAATACTTAACTCATCACGATTTACTTTTGTGTATGGTGTGAGGTAGTATTTTTTCCCCACGTAGTAATGAAACTGCCCCAACATTTCTTTATGGATTTTATATATGATTTCCTTGAGCTGTTAGCTGATAAACCCTATATGGAGCTCTGTTTTAATTTCAAATGTTGTTTTCTATTCACTGGCATTACTTTTCCATATGACCTCTGAAAACATCTTTTCAAGTAATAAAACAATTATTTTAAAATTTCCATTAGAACTCGATTTGTACATTAACATTAATTTTGGGAAAATTACTGTTTAAAAAATACTGAGACCCCTGTGCATGAAAGTGTTAAGATTTCTCATTTATGTCTCTATTTTAAATTTCACATCTTTAATAAAGTCTCATAGTTTGCTTATTCAAGTTTAATTCTAGGCATATTATATTTTCCATTATTTATACTAACATGTTATTGCAAGTTGTGACATAATTAAGAAATATGTATTTGGTTTCTGCTCCTGGCTCCTGATACAAAGTTCTTAAAATTCTTGTAATTTCCCGAGTGACAGGAACAAGAGCCTTTTGTTATAATAAGGCAATTCTTGGTGGGTTCCTGGACAGCTTCAGAATGGGGGCTAGTCACCAGAAAGGCCAAGCTATGATTAGAAGCCTGGAACTGTCATCTCCACCCCTCATCCTCTGGGGAGGGGAGAGGGGTTGGAGACTGAGTTAATGGTGGATCATGCCTATGTGATGAAGCCTCCATAAAAATCCCCAAATCTCTACGGGCTCAGAGAGCTTCCAGGTTGGTGAACACATGTCCATGTCCACGTGCCAGAAGGGTGGTGTACTCTAACTCCATGGAGACAGAGCTCCTGCACTCGAGACATTTCCGGACTCGGCCCGATGTTCCCCCTTCATCTGGCTATTCATCTGTATCCTTTATAATATCCTTTAAAATAAACCAATAAATGTGTTTCCTTGAGTTCTGTGAGCCATTACAGCAAATTATTGAACCGGAAGATGGGGTTATGGAAGTCACTTCTGTGGTCAGAAGTACAGATGACAACCTGGGACCTGCAAATGGCATCTGCAGGCGAGGGCAGTCTCGTGGGGCTGAGTCCCTAACCTGCGGGGTCTGTGCTAACTCCAGGTACATAGTGTTATAATTGAACTGTAGGACATTCAGTTGGTGTCTGCAGAGTTGGAGAATTGGCTGGTGTGGAAAAAAAACCCCACACATTTGGTGCTAGAAGTGTTATAAGTGGATGGTACAGTAGTTTACCTTTACTAGTATAAGAGAAAAGTACGGATTTTTATGTTTATACTTTACTTAATCATATCATTAAGTTCTTGGTTTTTCCTTTTTACTATAAAAATTATAATCATAATTAAACAGAACAGCATAATGAACCTTTCAGGTACACATCATCCAGCTTCAAAAACTATCAACATTTGCCAATCTTATTTTATCTAAACATTCTTTTTTTTCTGTTCTTGGAGTATTTTAAAGCACATTCTAGACTTCGCATTTCACCTACGAATAAGCTCAGTACGTATAGTAAAAGTTAATGATTTTTACACATTACCATAATGCCAAAAAGTTCAGTGTAAATTCGAACAAGCATATGGTCTTTTTTGTTAAGTCAACGAGTCAACAGATCTACTATAAATGCATTGCGGTCTTAACAGAAAAGGTTCTTGAAATAAAGTAAGAATAATATATTAATTCTATCAGATTAAGAAGAAAAAGGAAGGCATATGTGAATTTTCACTTGAAGTTTCTAAGGCTTGATTGCTCATTGCATATGTTTTACAGCTCTGATGACGTGCAAATGGCATACAATAAAATCCTCCCATTTTATGTATGCAGTTCACTAAGCTTTGTAAATATATATAGTCATCCAATTATGAGTATGATCAAAATTTAGAACCCTGAGGCCTCTCTAAAGTCAATTCCTACCCCTAACACTTTCTGTCTCTATGATTTTGCTTTTTTGAGAATTTAACATAACAAATCATACAGTAAGCAGCCTTTTGCTCCTTACTTCTTTCACTTGGCAAGCTTTTGAGATTCAACCTTGTATCAGTGGCTCCTTCTGTTTTACTGCTAAATAGTATCACGTTGTAAGGATGTATGAAATGTTGTTTATCTGTTCACTCGCTGATGGATATTTATTTCCATTTTTGACTCTTATGAATAATACCTTCATGAACACTAATGTACAAGTCTTTGTGTGAACATGCCATGTTTATTCCTCGTGGACAGATACCAAAGAGTGGAACTGCTAGGCTACATGGTCAGAACATTTAACTTTTTAAGAAAATGCCAAACTGTTCTCCAAAGTGGCTGTAACGTTTTGTGTTCCCAGCAATGTGTGGCTGTTCTAGTTGTTCCACATCCTCAACAACACTTGGTATTGTCAGTATCTTCCACTTTAGCTATCTTACTATCAGTTATAATAGTTTAGTTCATTCACTTTGATTTTTTAATATGCAATATCATATACAACTAGTGATAACAATTATTTCTTTTTCTCATTGTGCTGTCTAGAGCCTCTATACAACTAGCAAATAACATCAATAATTACAGACATCTATGACTTGATTTTTATTATAACAGAAATGCTTCCAATATTTTATTGGTAGAATCTCACTTAACTACATTTGCAGTTAGTCACATTAGAAAGTGTCTTATTTTTAAATGTTTTTGTCACATATGAACATAGTTTTTATCAAGTATTTTTCAGATCTATTTTGACCTTCTGATGCAATGAACTAACCTACTACATTTCCTAATGTTGAATCATCCTTACATTTGTGAAACAACTCCTAATTGGACTTGTTTATATGCACTACTCAGGTTTATTTAATTTACTAAAATTTATATCAATATTTATAAGTTAATTTGGTCTAGACATGCCCTTCCCAAATTTTGTTCCATGGGATGTATTAGTTTCTGTGTGTGGGGGGGACCCCAACAAAACTGTAATCCTCCATTTCTTCATATGTAAAGTAGGGACAAAATATATAAGGACAACAGAGATAGAAGAGTTAAGGTTAGGAAGACTAAATGAGATAATGCCTATCGTTGCTTAATAAGTAAATGAGCTAGGATTTCAGCCCAGGCCAGTACTGATCATCCTTGAGACCACTACACTCTTATATCTGTTATTAAAAGATTACACATATAGCTAAAACAAAACAGAAAACAAAACAAAAAACTTCTTATGCAATTTAACAAACAGTAGTAATTTAGTAAAGCTAGAGATTTAAATGAACTTTTTAAATCCTAAAATGGTGGATTCTCTTTTTATAATGAACCCTCTAAAAGGAATTATTCGAATATGAACAAGAAGTTAGCCCACCTGAGTATGACTGATTGCTATATGGTTGCCATGGAGAGGTGACTGCCGATCTTTCTCCTTACTGTGCCGACTACTCTGTTTACTACGTTGTAGCTGCTGCCTCAGTTTGGCAATCTGCTTTGGAGAGAGCAGAAAAGAAGCACGAAGAGAACAAAAGTGATTACCAATTTTAAGTACTTACTTCTTTAATTTTTGGATATTAATAAATTAACTTCTCAAAGGTTTCAAGAGGATAGTATTTCACTACGATGATTTATTCTTCCAAGTTTCTATGATTAAGACTATTGGAAATAAATAAATATAAGCTACAAATGCCTCACTTGCACAATTTAAATAATACTGTTGGTAAATACACAGACTAAATTTCCCCAGATTATTTCAGATTTTACGTTTGTAACACCAGAAATATCTTCAACTACTTTTTGTAAGGTGAAAACTAGTATCTCACATGCATTTGATTAAAGTCAAACCCACTCTCTTAATATAAGGACAGCATTAGCTCCTAAGTTCCCATCTTATATAAATAAAATCTATTTGGTTTATCAATTACTAATCACTTTAAAATTGTAGATCTCAGTGGTAAGGAAAATCAAAGCATTTAGTATTAATAATTAATTACTACTTAATATGTTACTATATATTACTCTTTAGTCATACAACTTATTTTTCAGCTTTATTAAGATATAATTTACATAAACATCCTGTAAGTTTAAGGTATACAACCTGTTGATATATTTGCTACATTTATATATTACAAAATAATACCACAAAAGCATTAGCTAACACCTCCATCTCATCACATAATTACAATTTGTGTGCGTGTGTGTGTGTGTGTGTGTGTGTGTGTGTGTGTGTGTGATTTGAGATTTACTCTTAGCAATTTTCAAATATGTAATACAATATTACTATAATGAAAAGGCTCTACATTAGATGCCCAGAACTTATTCATCTTATAACTGGAAGTATTTACCCTTTGAACAACCACCATTCCCTCCACCCTCCAGCCCCTGGCAATCACCACTCTACTATTTCTATGAGTTTGGCTTTTTAGGTCCCACATACAATTGAGATCATACAGTATCTGTTTCTCTATCAGACTTATTTCACTTAGCATAATGCCCTCAAGGTTCATTCATGTTGTAAGTGGCAGGATTTCCTCCTTTCTCGTGGCTGAATAATATTCTTTATCCATTCATCCATTGACAGACACTTGGCTAGAATAACACAACTTTTAGAAACAAATATAACTTAGAGTTTATTCTAAGTGGTATGGTAACACTCGCAAGTTTAAGAGAAAAGTCATTTACTATAATATGGCTTAGAAGTCATTAAACTACTAATATATTTTAGGTGATGTATAATCACTTAAAGTGTGCTAGACCAGGAGTAAAATATTCCTGAGCATTTTAAAGGGAATCATTAGCAGTCTGGGGGAAGTTATTTAATATTGGTATTACTTCCCTTATAGAAAAGATGAGATCGATTAACAGTAATTTCTTAAAAAACTATATATAAGGAGCCCAGTTTTATGTCACCTATTAGGCAAAGTATAAATACGAAGTCAAGTCTCTGAAATATATTGATTCCTTCAAAGAGATAAAGCAATGTATTTTAATATTAGCTAAATGTTTACCTTGAATAACCAATAGCAATAAAAAGCAAAACAGACAGTTGTTATTAAAGCTTATAAATGTTCAAGCGAAAAAGTATATAGGTTGCTTGGGAAACTAACTTTTACCTGTGGCAAATAAAAGATAAACAGCATGGAAGGAAATAAAGCACCTAAACAAAGGAATAATTTATATCCTTTCTTTTATATCGAGATCTTTTGATTCTTGTAGTCTTTTAATGCTCCTTGTAGCTTACAGAGCTCTCGTATAACATCCTTGCAAAGATATACAAATAAGATTATCTATGTTATTATTTGTGTTCCTGTGCTCTGTTGTAATTACATAACTTTCTTCTAGAGAACATTAATTTTCGTGAGAAAAAAATAAAAATTAGTAAGTAATTATTATAAATTGAGACAGATTATTCTTTATGATAAAAATAAACAGAATTTCAAATTGTACAAGTCATTTAATTAGGATAGAGGTATAAAATTAAGTGTTTTCAGAGTATTAATGATGTTTAGTGGTATTTCAAAAATAGCAAGAGCTTTTATATAGAAGAGCCCATAATGCTTAGAGATTAATCAAGGCAATTTGTACTTTTTCATTTTTAAAATATCTTTAAAAATAAACAAATGAAAATAAGGGCCTTTGAAACATCAAAACAAGAGAAAACTTTTTGTTCTAAACAGCTTTAACAAACCTCTGAAAACAAAAAGTCTGCATCATGGTATACATCTTACTTTGCTTGGACTATCAATTTAATATGCACGCTTATGGTTTTCACACAATACTATTTATCTTTGGAATATAAGTTATGCTCCTATTTATTTTTCAGTAGTGATTAGGGTAAAAGTGAAGCTCATCTTCCTAGATATATATACTCAGAACATTACAAATTTTCGTCAAGAACTATGTAAAATGAAGAAAGACACCATAAATCCTCCTTTGCTTCAGAATACGGGAGGTTCCTGTGTTAAGTACAACACGTTCAGAAGAGAGGCAGATCTACATAACAACTGCAAATGCTCTCACCTTCCACAGCTTTTACTTAGAATTTCCTTTCTCTTTTCCCTTGGCCATCCAAAGCCATCACTTCTTCCTTACCTTGGTACCACTGGAGAGTAGACACAAATGTGTCCTCTGGGAAGAAGATACAAAAGGAAACTGTAATCTCCACCTCCCCACACACCCCTCCCACCACATTCACAGCTCTAATCCTCTGTGTAAGAGTGGCTCTCGAAAGCCCACACTCCTTCGCATCACAGAGAAACTCTCAGTCCTCACGTTGGTGGGCCTGCCCACCCTGGTTACGATGTTGAAATGACCATACCATTTTCCTTTAAAAAAGGAACACTAAGTCACAATGACTGGATTTTTAAAACTAAAATATAGATGACTCTTACTTCGTGTTTCTAAATATATATTAGCTATTCTGTGACCTTAAGAAAAAAATTAAGCATCAAGCTTGAGAGTATTACACTAAAGTGAAATAAGACAAAGAAAGACAAACACTGTATGATCTCATTTATAGGCAGAACCTAAAAAAAAAAAAAAAATACAGAAATGGAGAGCAGATTGGTGGTTGCCAGAGGTGGAGTAGGGGGCAGGAAATGGGTGAATATGGTTAAAGGGTACAAACTTCCAGTTATAAGATGAATAAACTCTGGGGACAATGTACAGCATGGTGACTACAGTTAACGATATTACACTGCATATTTGAAATTGCTAAGAGAATAGATCTTAAAAGTTCTCACTACACACAAAAATAGTATGTAAGGCCATGAATGTGTAACTAACCTTTTTGTGGTGACGATCTGATATATACATAAAATAATTACATTGTATATCTTAAACTTATACAATGTTACATGTCAATTATACTTCACTAAGTTTTAAGGAAAAATTAAGAAGAGAGAGGAGCCATCTTTTAACCATGAAAGGGAACCCAAACATGTGAGCTGCAAACTCTTAAAAAGTTTGGGAATAAGTGACTTGGAGTCACGAAGAAGAAATAATAATTGTAGACAGAAGGATTAGCATAAATACTCACAAAGGATGACTAAACCATTGTGGAATTAGATAAAGAAAAATCGGGCCCTGATCCCACTTAAAATCTGAGAACAAGGAACACATTTTATTATAAATTTTTGGAAACTCGATAACATGCCCTTGTTTGCTATTTTTATCCTGTTAGTTTCCCCTACTATTGTGAACATTTAAAAACAAAATAAAACAATACTAAACTCTTAGCCCCACAGGACTGGTTGAGTATTTTTGCCTCAAGTACTGAAAGGGAGGGAAATATTTCTCAGAATGAACTCTATTCCACGGTAGGCCAGGGCAATGAGAAATCTCAACCTAAAAGGACTAAGTGGTAGCAGTAGGAAGGGAAGCAGCACCCTGGAGCTTTTAGAATAAAAGAAAAAAAATTAAAAGAGAGCTAGCTCAAGATCAGGAAGTAGTCTGCCACTTGCTTTTTTTTAAAGGCCGCATTCTTTTTTTTATTAAATTCATTGGGGGTGACATTGGTTAATAAAATTATATAGGTTTCAAGTATACAGTTCATTAATACATAACATCCATGTTGTATTGTGTTTGCCACCCAAAGTTAAGTTTCTGTCACCTTATATTTGTATAAGGTGCTTTTATGTGAATGAGGTCTATTTTTCAATAAAAGCATATGAGATAGGTACTATTATTATCACCGTCTTATATGTGAAGAAATTGATATGTAGAAAGGTTAAAAAGCTTGCTAAACGTCACACAGAGTGACGTCGGAAGCATGACAGCTCAATGAATAGCCATTAGTTCTTTAGGGTCTCTCCTGGTCTCTCCCCTTGAAGTTATAACAAGAAGAACAGCGATAATTCAAGAAAGAATTGCCTGCTCAACATGTAAAAGTCATACCGTTAAGTGGTGAAATAAATATTTAAACTTAGGAAGTGGAATTCCCATCTGCCATCTTAACCACTATTCTGTATTGCCTAAAGAATCAAGTTCATAACTCACAAGGAGATAAATCTTACAAAAAGTGCAGACATATAAATGGGAATGAAAATTTTGGCAACAGCTGAAATAAGACAAAAAACAACAACAACAACAACAACAAAAAAAACCCCGAACTATTACTAAAGATGTTAACTCAACAAATTTTTCTGAAAATGTAGTTTGAGAAGTCATGAATCGCAAGCTGTTATTCACTTTTATATGAAAAAATGAAATATGTGAAAAATTTAGTGCTTATACAGATTGTCTCAAAAGAAAGCTTCTGTAGTCTACGAATAAATTTTATACATTATATCCCTTCACAGTGTTCAAAGGAATTTTCCTTACACTAAAAATATAAATTTAAAACTTTTTTATGCCTTTCCATAAATAGGAATAATCAGTGTTGTTTTCCTGTTTTATTTTAAAGTGTCGATAGGCAAACTTTAATAAACTAATTGCTATTCATTAAGCTCCATGAAAGTCAAATGAATGAACATAGGCACATGCATGCATAAATGCATAAAGAGCACACACATGTGCAAGTACATAAATATACAGAGGTCACTTGCACGCACATCGACTCCTCCATACCCACAGACATGCTTGCCCACATGCAGACTCACACAAACCCACTATTCCAGCGACAGACAGACAGATTTATCCTCATAGACAGATTCATCCCCATAGATATAGCTAGCTTTGGGACAACTGTTATACACGTAAAATAAGTTTTACTACATAAGTGTATTTACAACTACCAATAAGGCATATTTGTCAATAGAGGCATGTTAATAGTACCAGCAGAACATTTAAAAACACTCAGTTCACAAACCCACGTGACCCCAGACTTATTGTATCTCTTTCTTTTACAGACTAGGAGACACTCTCAAAAATAAAAGGCCTTTCCTAATGTAACACAGCTAATAAATGGCAGATCTAGTCCTTTAGCCTTTAATTTGTAACTTCTATTACCTACCAATACCGCTGAAAGTAATACTAGGTTAATGTTCAACTGCAAGTAACTACCAGTCACTACGTATTTGCTCATAATCTCAACCACTCTGCATAGTAACTTCCTTTCTTAGTGATGGAGATATTGCAAGATGTGGAACTGAAATAGAGATAAACAAAAATTTGATGAAGCAATTAACTGACTACATAGTAACATACTGATAAGTTTCTATTTTTTTGATCAGCAGTTTGTATGACCTTAAAAATTGTGCCTGTTTGATACAATTTTAAATAATGAAAAATTACAAAACATCTGTATAACAATTTAATTTGAATTGAGACAGAGACTTTATTAGATAAATATTAAGTATTTTTAAAAGGTTTATCACATAATTCTTTTGATTTCAACGGGACAGTCAAATTCTTCAGACTGTTGTCTTTTAGGTCCAAAGAAAACATTATTGCAATTATTTCCCCTACTATGGTATAATTAAAAAAAAAAAAAAACTTTTTTAAGTGCCAAAAACTAACAGAATACTAGGGCAAAAGATATACTCTAAATAAAATGATAAAGAAACTTTTATTTTTCTTACTTAAAAAAGGAAGACCACATCAATAATATCTATTAATCATTTGATCAGAAGTGAGAAACATCTCTAATCATTTCATTTGCTTGTTACTGCTCCAGGTGGTTCCCTCAAAGAAAAACTATCTTACTAATGAGAGGAGGGCTCATTGGTGAGATAAAAAGCAACTCATGATTTTTCCTTATTTCCACTGAAGGACTTAAGAATAGTAAACCCGCTTTTTTCCATTTATCTTATTAAAATCAGGAATAGTAAAAAATAATCAAAACAATTACACAATGGTATTATTTTTGTTCTCTCTGGGAATGTCACCCCCTGGGATAAAGCGATTTGCCTACTGCTTACTATAAGAACAGCGGATTCCCCAAGCTCTCTGTTTCTCTCCTATAAAGTGATCTCCATATGCAGGCATCCATTTGGGCCCTCCCCACTACCCTATGGCACCTGGGGTTGAGGGGAACAAATGCAAACAACAGTCTTGATGATACTTGCTATGCTGTGAATAACAAAGTCCACTGTCTCTAAACCGGGAGTCTCATGCCTCTGCCAGCATCCATGAAATAGTAAAAGGCAAACTTCTTAGACTCTAAGTAGGAAAAATCAAATCCAAGACCTAAGAGGGTGTACTTTCTCCTTTGCGTCAAAAGAAGAGGGGATTTTAATGGCACAAATTGGAAAGTTTGATGTATGCTGCACACAGATAAAGTTTGATGTATGCTGCACACAGATAAACTGGTATCTGACTCCCACTCCAGATACTAAAAATGTTGAGCTAGGATAACAGACGTTCACTGTTACATTAGAATTAGACTAAGCTCTCAGACGTGAACCGACCAAAAACTGTGAGAGTTTCCCAGGAACCATTTGGGAAATTTGAACGTGAGAGTCACTGTGAAAGGCTGTCTTAGGTCCTATGTAAGAGGGCCACCTAAAAGGGTGAACAGAACACTGCAGCTAGGAAATTCTATTTCTAGCATTCTAGAGAACAAGGGACTCACTAACTCAGAAAGATAGAAATGTAAGAAATGCTCAACAACCAGTGGTCTCCAAAGAACCCATGAAATTACAAAAGTCAATTTTAAAAATCTGTCAAGCCCAGGGAATGTACAGGCATCTTATAATAGTACCAGTCAAGTAGGAACATTTCTATTCCCCTTACCTTTCCCTCTCTCCCCCACGCTCCAACTCCAGAGGGGTCAGAAACAGTAGCTATGGAGTTAGGAAGGAGGTGAGCAAGAAACAGAAAAGGAGCCTCCAGGATCCCTTCACCCATGAAGTCACCCAGTTGTAGTAGGCCCTAGTTGGGAGAAGAAGAGTAGCTATAACCATGAAAGAAGTTAGAGCTTTGACTATTATAAGTGCCTGGAAAGCATGCTCACTTCAAGGGACCACAGGAGTGTGGGTGATCAGTTTCTCGTTTTGTACCATAGGCAGGAGACAACTTCTCCTACTGAATAAGGAGTGGGAAGTAATAATATAAAGCCCTTTTGTGATTATCCCTTAAAGTCTTAGTTGCTTTTCCTAATATGTAATTAAGTTCTTTAAGAAGCAGATTGTTATCTACTGTTTCTTTTGAAATTCTAGATGCTTTGTACAATACTGAGCAGTCTTATTCATTTGATGTTATTCTATGAATAAATTCAGTGCCACTAAAGGCTGATGAGGTATGTGAAAAAAAATCTTAAAAATTTACCATTGTTCTTTTACCTTTACTAAATGTATAGAAATCAAGCTCCATAAAAAGTGATAAATATTAATTAAATCTTTATCATTTACTTAGCTGACTTCTTAAACTCTAGTTATGCTATATAAATCAATTTTAAATTGTGTTATATAAACAAGGACCCATATATCTAAGCAATGGAAAAATACACTTATATACTTGATTAGTGTGTAAAATCTAAATAAAGGTTGGGACAATAAACATAATTCAAACATAATTCAGTAAACATAATTCAAAGGAAGAAAATTAATCTTCTCATAAAGAAAAATGATGTCTCTCTTAAATTCATTTCCTTAACATGGACACAAACCACAATCTCATAGTACAGTGTTATTAATTATAGTGTCTGATAAATGTATTGATGATCTGATTGCCATTTCTTTGTAGGTTAATTTACTTTTTTTCCTAATTGCAAAGAAGTGTGTGTGTGTGTTTGCCCTTGATCTACAATTCCATTACATTAAATACCTAAAGGTTGGAATTTTTACTTTGTCCTGTTTTTCCTCCTTGGGGCTAGTGGGCTTTCTCAATATAAAGATACACATTGTTCTCCAGATCTAGCAAATTTTCAACCTTTAAAATTTTTCTCTTCCTTGATGCTTATTATTTTTACATTCTAGAACACTTAAGTCAGTTTCACATGGTTCTTAACTTCTTTTCATGTTTAAACTTCTTTATCATTTTGTTCTATTTTCTAGATGATTTGCCTATCCAAACTTTCAATTCTTAGTAGAATCTTTTGATTCACTAATTCCCTCTTCTGCTATGTCAAGTTAATCCACCAGAGTTTATTTCACCAACTTTTGTTACTTAAGATTTGCGAATAAAAAAAAAAAAAGCCTGCTTTTATTTACTTCTACTCTTATTGCAAGTAACTATTTCATTTGAAATTCTTAAACTTTCTTATTTTAAGTTCTTTTTGGGGATTGTGTTCTTATCTTTATATCCTCAGGTGTGAATGATCCTATTTAATGTATTGGTTGTCTATTATGGCAACAGATTCCTTACATTTCCTAAAATACTTGTTTGCAAGCTTACTTTATGTGAGAGTTTTATCCTTTGTGAGCTCTTTTCTGCCATGTTGTGTCATAGTTGCTCAGACTAGCCCTCTGCACAGCTCCAGAGCAGGTCTTGAAATAGGAACTGTGGGCCTTTGGTCCCACATGGGTAGAGCTCTATTCCAGATGCCACACACACACAACATATGGTTACTATTTCCATTTTTGTATAGCTGCCTCTCTGAACCACAGGAAAACACCAACAGTGTCATGTGGAGTTATTTCACGCCTAGTTTTACTGCCTAGAAACATGGTCCCAGTTCCAATCTCCTGCCATTTGCAAGACACTCTTAAAAGGTGTAGGAATATTATACTCTCTTAACTTTGGCTTAAAAATTCTCCCATAAGCCCCGGCCAACATGACCTGGGTTCGTGAGCCAGATGGCATTGATATCCACTCATCGTTAAGGATTTCTTTTCTATTCATGGCCTGCAGGGGTTTTCCTTGTCTTAAACATAGCTAGAATTTATTTATTTATTTATTTATTTGAAAAATTTTCACATTGCGTTCTTCTAAGCTTGGAGCAAAGTGGAGACAGATTTATACAGGTGCTTTCACTGACATCTGAGTCGGAAATCCTGATGTAAATTATGAAAGGGAGAGTATATATGTGATACAATACAGCTGAATTTGATCCTATGACAAGGAAGTAGGTCAAGTTATTTTTTTAAAACACTCAATTTTGGTAGTACATAACTTTTTAAAAATATTACTATTTCAATAATAGTCTTCATTTTTCAAAATTTTCTCAAATTCCAATTCTGTTATCTATTATACGTATTCCTGATTTTACTTTTAGTCTTTACCCATGTATTCTTATCATTTTTCCAGCCACAGTTATATAACATATAGAATTTAATATCTTCATGACATTACATGGAAATCTCACCAGCCTTTTATAACTAGTCTTTTCTTTTTCATTTTTACTAAGGTATAATTTACATTTCCTTATTAACTTCATCCATTATAAGGGTAAAATTCAATAAGTTTTAATTACTTTGCAGAGTTGCATAATAATCACAATGCAGTTTTAAAACTTTTTCAACACCTTCAAAATTTGCTTTGACTCTATTTGTTGCCAATCATCACCCCCTCAGCCCCACTCCCAGTCACATGCAATCACTAATGGGCTTTTTGTCCTTCTATAAATTTGCCTTTTCTGGCATTTCAATATAAATGTACTCATAACATGTAGTCTTATTTATCTGGCTTCTTTGCCTTCATAAGGATTGGCAAACTACACTCTGCAGGCCAAGTCTAGCTTGCCACATATTTTTGTAAATAAAACTTATTGGCACATAACCACACCTACTCTATGCTGTCTATGTCTGCTCTCACACTACAATAGCAGAGTTGAATAGCTGCAACAGAAATAATATGGCCCACAGAAGCTAAAATATTTACTATCTGGATTTTCACAGAAAAAATTTGCTGACCCTTAACTTAGTAAAATGTTTTGAGATTCACTCACATTGTAGCATGTATCAATATTCAGTATAGTTTCTTTTTATTGCTGAATAGTATGCTATTGCATGAATATAGCACATTTCGTTTATCCATTTACCAACCGACTGATATTTTCCACTCTTCAGTTGCTCTGAATAACTGCTATAAACAATTGTGTACATGTCTCAGTGTAAACATGTTTTCATTTTGCTTATAAAGACTCTTAGGAATGAAATTCCTGGGTTACTTGTTAAGCTTCTGATTAACTGTTAAAGAAATTGTTTTCCAAAGTGGCCGTGCCATTTTATATTCCCAAGAACATTTGAGGGTTCCAGGTTCTCTTCATCCCTGCCAACACTTGGCACTGTCAGTCTTTTTAATTAGTCATTGTAGCTGGTGTGTAGTTGTAACTTGTGCTTTAAATTTGTACTTCTCCAGTGACTAATGATGCTGAATACCTTTTGCCATCCATACATCTTTGGTGAAATACTTCTATTGAAGTGTCTTACCCATTTTTAAGTGGACTGTCTTATTTTTGATTGGTACGGCTTCCTTACATATTCTGCATATAAGTCCTATATCAGAGACATAATTTGCTAATATTTCTTCCAGTCTGGGACTTACCTTTGCATTCTCTTAGATGTGTCTTTTGAAGTGTAAATGTTTATTTTAATCAAGTTCAATTATTTTTTCTTTTATGGCCTCGCTATGGGTGTTATAGCTAAGAATGCCTTGCCTAATCCAAGGTTTTCTAGAAATTTTATAATTTCAGAGCTTATATTTAGGGCTATGAACCATTCTGAGTTAATTTTTCTCCATAGTGAGAATTAAAGGCTTATGAGTTTTCCGTACATGTGGATATACAATTATCCCAACTCCACTTGTTGGAAACATTGTCCCTTTCAATTGAATTATGTTGGTGCCTTTGTTGAAAATCAACTGACCATAAATATAAGGGTTTGATCCATTTATCTATATATCTTCTTTTATTCTAATACTTTGCCAACTTCTTTAATGTACATTTATAATTATTATTAAAATTATGTAATTTAAGTCCTCCAATTTTTCCCTTGCTTTCAAAATTATTTTGACCATTCTAGGTCCTTTGCATTTCCACATAAATCTTAGAGTTACCTTGTCAATTTCTACTAAAAACAAAAATTCTTGGATTTTAACAGGGATTACAGTGAATTAGTTTGGGGAGAATTACCATCTTAATAATAATACTGACTGTTACAATCCATGATAAAAGTAAATCTTTCCATTTATTTAAATCTTCTTGAATTTGTCCAGCAATGTTTTGTTGTTTTCAAGGTATAAGTCTTACACTATTTTGTTAAATTTATCCCTAAATATTTTAATCTTTTTTGGTACAATTGTAATGAAGTTCCTTATTTTCTGGATTGTTCGTAGTTATAGGTATCTAGGCATACAGTTGATTTCTGTATGTTTACAATTG